TTTTCTTACTAAGCCTATTCAAAACTTGTCTTTGGAGTGTAGATAACAGCTTGCAGTGAGGTTAAGCTAAATCAAATGCTCAGCTTTTGCATATTTAGAAGGTTTATCTCCATGTTGATACAAAATCATAGCTCTCACATCCCGGAGTAATAGTGATGAGACCTGAGTGACCATGGACCAGGAACACAGATTTGGGTTACCCTAAACACAGTGGTTTAATAGGGATTTACAGTTACAGAATGAAAGAAAAGCATAAACCAAGCAAGATACTTCTAAAATGCACTGAGAAGGACACCAGGCGGATGGATAGCGAAGCAGGGGCATCTCTGTGGCAGGTGGTAGATGCTATATGATGACATTCTTAGATTTGATTTGGTCTGTTAATCTATTCCAAAGAGATTTGCCCAACAGTCGCAGGAATGTTAGTTCAAAACTTGAAGTGGGCAATGAGTGGACTAATAAGGAACCAGATGGACCAAGATAATTTGGTTCTGGATCTATAGTAGTCCAACTCTTCACAACCACAGATGTTTTAATCAGTTAACCAGGCTTGTACAATTTTAAACATAACTGTGAGCTCCCTTTGTCCCCAGATCTTCAGTTCATATCTATTGTACTATAAATAGAGGACCAAGGAGTACTCAGTGCTAAAAGACCAGGCTCTGGAAAAGCTAGTACAGCCATGAACATGGTGGATGGGTTGTGTCTGTAGCACGGAGAAATGTACCAAGGGGCGTAGGTGGAACAAATCACCTCCCATGCAGTTAACTCACATGATACGAAAGTTGGCCAGGTTTTGACCCAACTTTGACTATCTGACATAGCAGGACAGATGACATGTGTGCATATTGTGATTTATTTCTAAAGGAACAAAATACATATAAAACTCATTGCTGAGCTTAAAATCATGAGGTAATTTGCAAATTTTCCTACGGCATAATAAATTAAGCATGGAGAACACTAGGAATGCAATTTGCCGTCATTTATAATGCAGTGTTTTATGTTAATAATTCAAAATCACATACTATTTGGAGACACTTCTAATTAATGTATTTATGAAATTGTCAACTGTGACTGTTTTGGTTCCATTTAGCCAAACATTTCAACAGAATTTGCTTGTTGTTATTTAGAGTTTGCTCGATGGTACCCGCGAAATCAGATGTAAGATAATGGAGCTTGGTTGTACATTCTTCCCATACTGTTAAAACTTCTCTTTTTTTCATACTTACAAACACCTGAAACCAATGCCTGCCTTGTGTTCCAATACCAAATTCAAAATGCTAGAGACACTTTGTTTTAAGGTTTGAAGTGAAGAGGAAAAGAGAACCTGGATCAATAATTAATCGAAGAAGAAAGTTTATACCTTGTTAGAGGCTTTTAAATATTAAATACATTTCACATCTCAGCTCCATAGATGCTGACATTTCTTTAGAGTTGATAACCATGCCTGTTAGGGGCTATTCCTGGGACTTCTCATCTGTGCTTGGATGCTTTAGAAAAGAGGAGACGGCTAAATATTCATAAGTCGGCTTGTTGAAGATTTATGATTGGAATTCATCCAAGCATAGTTGAATTTTCCTGAGGATGTTTTAGTTAAGTTGAAGAATGAAATAATCTGGAGATTCAGTTGCAGCTAGGAATAAAATCTGACTACAGTGCTATCCAGTACAATAGTAATGAAGAAAGTGTCCCTCCAAATATTCAGGTAAGTCAAATATTAGCTGCCTCATCTTGCAGATTGATCCAAGTACAGGTTGGCATAAACTTTCTTCTCACTGGGAGGAGTGTATTTGCACCCTTTACTTGGATTACTGGTGTGGTTCCAATCTTGCAGCACAATTCATGCCCTTTGTAAGTTACACACATTTATCATATTGTCACTCCTTGGATAACTGTGATTGGACAGTACCTGGACTTAATTCTGACAGCCTGAAACTGTCATAGAAGGAGATGAGGAACAGAGAGACTTGTAGAAGATCTTGGGAGGTTTGCAAATGTAAAACAGTTCTCTCTTATGATGTGTTTTATTTTTGAAATATAATCAAATTGTCATTTTCATACCTAACATCCACTTACTGACCGTAGAATGGGATCTCGTGACATTTGAGAAAATACACTGAGTATCAAACAGCCTCACTGGTATTTGATAGCTGCTAGGAGAAGGGGCGTTGGCTTTCTTTAGGGTCTTTGGTAGGTCTAACGGTGTAGTAGATGGCCACACACCCGAGAGTACACAGCAGCACTGATGGGACTTCGTGTGTCTTAAATCAGTGAGGATGCAAAGCCTGGTGGGGGTGGAGGCGATGGAGAGGGAGATGAATATGATCAAAATTCAATCTACGAATTTCTCAAGGAATTAACAAAAAATAGAGCAGAAAATTTACAACTATTTTGTATCATTTGAAAATGATTATCACTGTCTTTTTTCTGTGATGCTACAGATTGAACCCACAGCCTTGTTCACAGAGACAAGCAAGTTAGATCTCCATCCCTAGGAGAGTTTAGTTCTTATCAGAGAGAACAAATTATATTATAAATGCAGATGGGCAAGAGTTTTGATGATGTTCTTTTAAAATTTTAAATTTAAGAATTTTATTCTGCTGCCACGAAACATATCAAATTAAAATAATCTATACCTTAAAGCTTGGCAATAAAATACTCATCTAGAAAGATACAAAACAACTGCATTTTTCTGCCTTCCAAGGACTGAGCAATGCTTTAACTGTTCATACCACATACATACACACAAATCTAAAAAAAAAAAATCTTGCTTTAGTATTTTTATTTCTTTGTTATTCTATACAGTAATTTAACAGTAACTTCAAACAATTTGAAAGAGATACTTTCCCCAGACTTGTAAAGTAGGTTCCCTGGTTCTGAAATTAGGAGGCAGCATGAGGAACTTCCGATTGCCCCAGCAACCGACGTAATTTCTTATTGCTCCAGCACCCAATGTAACATCTGATTCTCTAGGACCCAACACTTCCCCACAGGGCAGAAATTAGTGATAGGAGGTTCTTTTCTTTGCTTCTTCTTGCTCTGCTAGCACTTGTTCATAATATGTATGGCAGACATTGGTGGGGGTAGGGTAGAAGGGGACAAAGAAATGATAGAATTGGGAAAATAGAGAACTAAAAATTGAGTCAAGATACAAATGAATGAGTAGGGTTTGGAGAGATGGCTCAGAGGTTAAGAGGAGGCACAGTTCTTGCAGAGGACTCAAATTCATCAGGTCACCGAGGCCTGTCTTTAACCCCAGCTTCAGGAGATCTGGCGCCATCTGCTGGCCTCTGCGGGAACCTGCACACATATGCACACACACAGAGAATTAAGAGTATATTAAAACCAAGAAGAAAATGATTGAGTGTTGAGGAAGGAGTGCAAGTTTTAGCTTTGAATTTCAGCAAGTGGAAAATAGTGATATTTTAAGTTGGAGCAGCTCCAGTGATCATAAGAGCAGAGAATTCCTGAGGAGAAATCTGGTATTTACTTTTTAAAGTTGTCCTGTGAAGAAATTCTGTAGGTTGTAGTGACTTCTATTTGAATCATGTGGCGATAAACACACTAGCAGTATGTTTGTGTGTTAACCCGCTCTTTGGTGTAGACTGCTATACTGCATTCTTCAGAATCCTGTGCTCAGTGAAAGCAGTCTGCTCAAAGCCAGTGTGGTAAGGAATCTGTCCTCAGCTTGTCGTGACTGAGAGGCTGTGGAACTTTTATGAGGTAGGCTTAGGAGAAGGCTATTAACTGTGCGTCCTTGTGGGAGCAATGGAACTCCCATCTTGACTTTGAATTTCTGATCACAAGATGCACAACCTTGCTTAGTGCTACATGTCCTTCCCATTATACTGATGTCAACCAAAGGCTTGCTGCCCAGCATACACAGAAGTGGTTTAGTAATCTCTCACTGTTGTGACTTGTGCTGGCTAGTCTTACGTCAGCTTGACACAGCTAGAGCCATCTGAAAGAAGGGAACCTCAATGGAGAAAATGATTCCATAAGATCCAGCTATAAGGCAGGTTTTAAACTAGTGGTTGATGGGGAGGGTCTGGCCCACTGTGGGTGGTGCCATCCATGGGCTGCTGGTCCTGGGTTCTATAAGAAAGCAGGGTAAACAACCCCTGTGGAGAAAGCCAGTAAGTGGTACCCCTCCCGTGTCCAGGTTCCTGCCCTGTTTGAGTTCCTGTTCTGACTTCTTTTGATGACGAACAGTCATTTGGAAGTGTAAGTTAAATAAACCCTTCCTCCCCAACTTGCTTTTTAGCTATGGTACTTCATCACTACATTAGAAACCCTAACTAAGACAAGTTGGTGCCAGCATAGTGGGGTATTGTTGGGACAGACCTGATCATGTTGTTTTTTTAGGAGGATTGTGGAAGGACTTTGGCCTAGAGTAGTCACTGAGTGTTGAGAGAAGTACAGAAGATGGAGACCTGGCTGGTGAAATTTCAGAGAGAAGCAAAGACTACCAGGTTTTTTGTGTGAAGAATCTGTGGTTCTCATTTGTTGGGGCTGAAGACGTGGCTGTGATTAACAAGCTACCAGAACTACTAATGTGCAGCCTTTTGTTTTGCTGGGATATTCAATGCCGGTCAGTTGTAGCTAAGAAATTGCTGGTGATTAAGAAGAGACCAGCATTACTAAGGTAAAATATTCTGGGCGTTTCCTGAGAGCTCACAGAGCTGTATTCTGAAGCAGCTCAAGTTATATAGTTGTATCTTGTGCTGGCCATCTAACATGATAGTGTAAGAGTCACTCAGGAGGTACTGGGTTTTGAAGGCATAAAGGGGTCATGAAGAGCAGCTGAGGCTTGGCACTGTGAGAGGCCAGGAGAGGCCACCGGTGAAGGTGCAGTCTCAGTGGCGATTGAAGGCCCAGAACTGAAAGGGTTACTCAGAGAAGTTGGCATCATAAAGATATGATAGGCATCATAAAGAGAGCCGAGGATAGGCATCATAAAGAGAGCCGAGGAGAGGCAGTGAGTGGATGTGCAGCCCCGTTGCAGCAGAAGGACCCCCTCATTCTGGAGATGGGATGACCCCCAAGAACAGCAGCGGCAGCGGAGTGGAGCAGTCAGAGCCTAGGTGACAAGCTGTGTGTGCTGCAGAGAGCCGAGCCGGAGAAGTGACCCAGACCTTTGGAGGAGCCCAGAATATCATGGGTGGATCCCAGACATTGGGCATTTTGCTATTTACACTGTTGGGAATTTGGTTTTGCTTTGTTCAGATTGGGACTGTGCCCTGGTTCTTCTCTCCTGAGGTAAGAAAGTTTTTCATTTAATTTTTATTTTACAGGAGTCCACAGTTGAGAGACTGAATTTTGAAAGAGATTGGCTATTTTAAGGGACCAAAATCCTAGTGTGTTTGATTTTGTAAAGACTGTGTATCTTTTAATGCTATTCATGATTTTAATATGAGATATTGGAAATGAATAAGAAAGGAAAGGCGTGGGTTAATAGTGATGTGTTTGTGTGTCAAGTTGACAAGGAGTCAGTTGTGCTGGTTAATCTTATGTCAACTTAACACAAGGTAGAGTTATCTGATAGGAGGAAACCTTGATTGAGAACATGCTTCCATAAGATCAGATTGTAGGCAAGCCTGTAGAGCATTTTCTTAGCCTGTTGTGTGGAGAATTCAGGACATTGTGGGTGGTATCATCCCTGGGCTGATGGTCCTGGACTTTACAAGAATGAAGGCAGAGCAAGCCGTGTGGAGCAAGCCAGTAAGCAGCACTCCTCCACCGCCTCTGCATCAGGTCCTGCCTCCAGGTTCCTGCCCTGTTTGAGCTCCTGTCCTGACTTCCTTTGATGATGAACAGTGATATAAAAGTGTAAGTCAAATAAACCCTTTTCTCCACAACTTGCTTTTTGGCCATGGTGTTTTATTACAACAATGGAAACACTGACTAGGCTGTGACTGAATAACTGACAAGAAGCTACGTACAGGGGTCAGTTCATTTTGGCTCATGATTCGGGCGCACAATCCATCATGGTGGGGAAGGCATGGATACAGGTGCGGCTCTCAGTTGTGGTACCGGAACTCTTAAGGTGATTTTAACCTGCTGTCTCATCACAGGTCCTAAAGCAATAGATTCGACTGAGAACTAGATCTTTCAAAAGTATAAGCCAACATAAAGTCTTTAATCTTTGTAAATTGGGTACCTTGGGTATTTGTCATAGACACGGGAAGCTGACTAACATGTAGCTTGGCACCATGTAGTATGTACTTACGATTTCATTTACATGAAGTGGAAAGCATATGGATAACTTACAGAGCTTAAGGAAAATTTCATGCATTTGTGGAAAATTGCAAATTAAATATTTTAGACTAAAAAAAAAAGCAGGAGCCAAAGAACATCAACTATATATTAGTGCTTTCCTTTCTTAGCTGTCTAAGGAAACTTCACTGAGCTTGAAATGCTTAGATTTGATACCTGTTTGTGTGTGTGTGTGAGAAAGAGAGACAGAGACAGAGACAGATAGAGAGAGGTAGAGAGTTATATACATTGCAGTTATGTATATATTTGCAATATATCATAAACCTTAATTTAAATACATAATATAAATATACATTATATATTGTAATATATAATACATTTAATTGAAGTTTGCAGTACACTCAGTCAAATGTATGAATAGTGAGTGTATAGACCTATAGATTCCTATATAAAGGAATCTTGAGGTGCCTATAAATAGAACCACACAACACTATGCTTTTGAGTCTGATGGTTTGATATTGTGTTGTGATTGTCCAGTTTTCCCAGGCTTTATACCTGTTATCTGGGCTTTAAATATCTTGGGAACATGTTCTACAAAATACAGATTACCATGATGTTTCATATGCATGCCAGCAGTCATAAAGACAGGACTAGATGCTGAAGAAGCTTTTAGGAGAACAGTTTCATCTGATGCTGTATCTAGCTTGCACTGTGTGTTGTAAGAATCAAATGGTACACACAGTGTGTTTTCAGGTGGGTTGATTCCAGGATTCTTGCTATGGTTCAACTGTCAAATGTGTCTTACAGAATCATGACTTAAATGCTTGTCACTGGAGGACTATGCTGTTTGTTAGTGGGGAAGGGCATCCGTGGAACCTTGGAGAGGTGAGGCCTAGTTGACGGAAGTAGAACACCAGGGGCAGGTCCTGGAAGGTTGATTCTGGTCCTCTCTGATTCCTGGCCCACCCCAGTGTAAACAGCCTTTGTATCATGGTCCTGGGTGATAGAAACAAGCTTGCTCTGCCCTCCCTCACTGTGACTGAATCTAATTGGTTGGTCTTTCTTGAAGTGTCTAGTAGGCCTTGTTACAAAGTAACTAATATAACTTTTTATGACTAACAAAGCCTGCCTATGTTAAGTCACTTAAGTAAAATTGTATAGCAGGACACAGCTCTCCTGTGTATTGTAAAGCTTACTTAGATTATTTATAATGCCAAATACAATGCAAATGCAATGGAAACAATTATTATAGTCTATAATCTGAAGAATAGTGGCATGAAAAATCAGTGTGTACCTGCTTAGTCTAGACAGTTTCTTTCCCAAGTATTTTATCTTTGTGTTGAGTCAAATCATGGATCTTATCTCTGGATAAGAAGAGATTGTGTGTACAAATGAGCTAGCTCATGGTTTAGCAAGGTCAGGAACTTCGACTCTGGTTTTCAGTCCACTTATCCTTGGTGCTGTGAGTTCTTTGAATTGGTACTGCTTCCTGGTCAGTAACTCAGGGTGTGGAGAATAGAAGGAGACTGAAGGCACAGATCCACTTCCTCCTTCTGACTTATAAAGTGGTTGCAAAAAGCATCTCCGATGACCTGGTTTAAAAGTCCCAGTTAAGTGATGTCTTGCTTTCATTCCCTTATATGATTTGTGTTTTTGTTTGGCTACTTTTGCTTTGTGTGGCTTAAGTGCCTCCTCCTTTCAATTGATCCCATTTGGAGAGGCAGTTTATTTTGAAGGGAAGTGCTTGGGTTGCATCAAGGGTCTGCAGTACATCAAACACATCTCCAAGGCCAGGGTAGAGAGTCCCCTCCCGGGCATTAAATAAAGCTTCAAACAGGCTACATTAGTGGGCTCACTCAGCTTGTTCTCCACAGCCAGTTTCAATTTCACTAAAAGGAAAGAATTGGTAATTAATTATCTAGGCCATGTAATGAGTTTCCATTACTTGGAATTCAATAAAGCTCTTTCATTGTGACCAGGCTGATCAATAGCACAGAGGGGTTAATAGAAACCACAGATACAGCTGGGATAATAGAATGGCTTCAGGAAATGAGGCTGGGTCCCTGAAGCACTCCTTTTCCTCCCCAGGGGATGGAAGCTGCTCAGTAGCCCTTGTTGTCTTTATTTTTCCCTTCAGCCACTCTGTAAGGCATTATGGGTTGAGTTAGCTATTGTGCTAGAGCCCAAGATAATGGAAATTACCTTTACAAAATCCATACATTGGAACTGGAATGGCTTTGGAGGTAATTTATTCACATCACTCATGATCCTTATACCTTTTAGGTGCTCTCCCGACCCGATACCAAGTGATGTCATCCTTGACTTCAACAGCAGCTTATGCATCCTTTAACCATAAGAGCTGATTAGGAAGAAGGGCATAACTAAAAAGGTTGCCAACTTTGGGGGCAAACAGAGTTGTCTGTGCAGTGAAGAGAGGTGAAAAGAGGTAATAGATGTCAGGGACAGCCAGAAGTTGGTGCTGTGTGGTGTTTTGAATCTGGGAGTAAGGAATGTGTGTAGCTGCAGATCAAACCTCTTCGACCCATGGAGACAAAGACTGCCTCTCAGAGGAGGAACTAGAGCGATAGTCTAATCAGACTTACAAGTACGTGGGAGACTACCTGCTCCTGCCTTCCAAACAAGGCCCCAAGGGGAGGGCATAGCTTGAGTTCCTCTTTGTCTAGTGCCAGTCCGTTGCGTTCTCCTACAAGAGCTCTGTTTCTTAACATAACCTGAGTGAAGCTCATTGTTTACAATCTAATATGCCAAACTCAACCCCTGTTTTATTATTTATTTATTTTACCTTCAGACTGCAGTTTCCTCTCCCACCTCTCCTCTTAGTTCCTCCCCACAACCTCCCCTCTGCTTCCCCATCCCATATGCTCCTCTGTTTCTCTTCAGAAAAGGACAGGCCTCCCATGCATATCAACCAAATACGGCATATCAAGTTGCAGTAAGATTAAGTATTTCCCCCTGTATTAAGTAAGACTGGGCAAGGCAACCCAATATGAGGGCTACATTCCTAAAAGCCTGCCAAAGAGATAGAGGTAGCCCCTGCTCCCACTGTTAGAGGAGTCCCACAAGAAGACAAAGCTATCCAACCGTCACATTTATGTAGAAGGACCTATACAATGCCATGCAAGATTCCTGGTTGTTGGTTCAGAATCTGTGAGCTCCTATGAGCCCAGGTTAGTTGATTCTGTGAAGGTTTTTTTTTTGGGGGGGAGGGGGTGCCCTTGACCGCTTTCGTGCCTACAACCCTTCCTCCCTCACTTTATCAAGATTCCCTGAGCTCAGCCTAAAATTTGACTGTGGGTCTTTGCATCTATTTCCATCAGCTGTGGGATGAAGCCTCCCTGATGACAATTGGGCTAGGCACCAATCTTTGAGTATAGCAGAATGTGTTAGGCATCATTACATTGACATTTTTTTCCCTCCAGGCATGTTTGGTTCTATCCTAGGTGTCTGGGACATCCAGCCTCCAGGTCCTGGTGCTCCAGGTGGTGCTCCAAGCAGTGTCAGGTGTCACTCTTGTGGCATGGGTCTCAGGCTGGATGAGTCATTGGTTGGCCACTGTAATGGCATTTCAAATGTATTTCAATAAAGACTGCCTGAAGATCTGAGAGTAAAACAGCCCCACTGGTCAGCCTTACAGACCAGATTATGCTAACACATACCTTTAAGCCCAGTAGCCACCCTAGTTGCCATAGAAATCAGGTGGTGCATACCTTCAATCCCAGTGGTGCAAGCCTGTAATCCCAGCCCTAGAGAGGAATATAAGATGGGATGAGACAGCTCTCAGACTCGGTCTCATTCTGAGATTCCTGGAGGCAGGATCGCCATTTTCAGACTAAGGTCAAGGTAAGAGCCAGTGGCTGGCTGCTTTACTTTTTGGAGATTCAGGTTGAACCCCAATTTCTGACTCTGAGTTTTTATTAATTGTGTATCAGGCCACTCTCACAATCCCTGTGCCACCCTGACCCCAGCACATCCCAAAGGCAGGACAGACTGAGGGTCAGAGCTTATATGGCTGGTTGGTGTCT